CGATCTGGATGGAGGGGAGGGTGTTTACAGCCTCATCATGTCCACCGAGATGGGCCCCTCGAGACAGCTGGTCTGACATGTGCTAACAGTATCACAGCTGGGCTCCAGTTTCACACTTCCAAACATTTATTTTTTCTTGTGGAGCAGTTTATGGAGGCATGATGATAATGATGATGAGCATCTGATAACGGATTACCTAAAGTTCCCTTCAAACTAAACATTTTACGTTGTTTATGAGTTAGGAGCGGTCAGGCCTCCAGCTGTAGATTACAGATTATTTTTAAATCCTCCATGAATAAGTGTGTAAAGCCTCGGGTCCTCAGTTTAAAACACATGCTTGAGATTCTGTCTTTGTCATACTGCAGCCACTACATTTACTGTAACTACTACTACTTGCTGCTATTCCATCTACTGTTATATTTGAATGGCACTGGGATTATACTGAATGTTACTGCCACACGTCCAAAGAAAATACATTTGGTACAAATTTACTACGGCTGCTGCCGACACTAAAAACTGGCCATGGGAGCTGTTTGATTCAGGAAATGTGGAAAGTGAGTCCCATTTCTCCCTTTATTGCTGTACATACCATGATGATTTATGACTTTCAATATTCAACAAAACCCTGAAATATTAGATGATCAAAAATGTGATTTTTTTTTTCCCCTTTTTGATTTGGTAAAGTTTTTAATTTTATGTAAAGATTGGACTATTTATTTGGCATTGTCCTGATGTTTCCAGTATTGTAACGATACAGGTTTCTAATAATGATACATGTTATATTGGTAATTCGAACTGTAGGTCTAAAATATAATATAACATATAATTTCCTTTATTTTTGGACTTTGTGTTATTATTTAGAAATGTACTCTACTAGTACTGCTACTTTAACTATTACTATACGGCTACTAAATCTGCTAATACTGCTACTTCTCCTGCAACTATTAATACCACGTTTTGCTACTATTGCTGCTACTTCTAGTACTTCTGCTACAGCCGATACTACTACTACTAGCCTGTTACTTCTACTGCTGCTACATAAGTACTGCTACTACTGTTATTTCTACTACTGCTGCTGCTACAGGTACCACTACTACTACTGATTATACTGCTAAAACTGCTGTAATGTACACGTTCTACTACTACTATTAAGGTTACAAATACTGCTTTTTCCATTACTTCTACAAGACCATTTACTACCGATGTTCCCTATATGCAGCTCATGATGCTTTTGTTGACAAAACAGCAACAACATCCCTGAAGAGATTGATCCACCAGAACTGATATCAGCCTTTAAATCAATTCTGAAACTTAATTTGATCGACTTTCCTATGATTTAAATCCATATTCTCTCACATGAAACGAAATTTAATTAGTTTCCACAAACAGCTCATAGTTGACACAGTCCAAATTGTTTTCCTTATCTTTGCAGCACAGTTTCATTTTGCACAAAGTTGCTTTCAATTCTTTCACTTTTAGCGGCCAAAATAATGATTTGAAAATCTATTGACGGAGTGCAGAAATAAATCTTGTTTCATTATTTCAAAGAGGAAAATGTCCCTCAAAGGCATTAACAGGTGAGAGTACAGGGCGATGAATCTCATGCCGTCAGCTGAACAGTATATGTTTGAGTACGCTGTTTCAATCATTCAGTGAACTCATCAAATCAAAACTCTTCCGTCTGAAGACATGGATGGCTGGTTCAAATACTACCTGCAAATAATGTTTAGCTATGGATTGAACCTGCAAGAGGAAATGTCTCTGCCTTAGTAAGTCTGGATGGACCGGCACAGCACAGAAAGAGATATCAAACTGACATCAAGACGCTTTCCTGTGATTGTCTTAATTTCATCTGATGTCTGAGGCATCAAGAAAATCTGTATACAGTAATCTCACTTAGAGTACTGAACATATTGTACCAGCAGGAATATGACCAGATGACGTACAGTTTCATCTAATGATGGCGGCATTGACCGTTATGTTCATTCTTAGCCTTTTGTGAAACTAACTCCTTTGAGTTCTATAGACAGTTATCTCTCTTTTATACTGCGGGCCTTTGTTCTGATATGCAGTGGTGACCATTTCATACAGTAGGCCTCAAACTAGAGCAAGGTAAATATAGAATGAGCGTAATATTCTGTGCTTCTGCTATATGTCAACAAATCAAATCAAAAGTCCAAAACCACCGTCTGTCAATACTTCCTTTCTTCCCCATCCTGTCTTTTTCCCTCAGCCTCAATCGGTTCATTCTGAAGACGTAAATCTTTTAAAAACAGGTTATATATATATATATATATATATATATAGACTAAATGATTTCCTAAACCAGCTGGGGACTGTAGCTTTTAGCAAATGTTACTCAAACATAAGGAGAATTTGTATTACATTTGATGGGAACTATTTTCACCTGCGGATTGACACCCATTGGTGCTCTAAATTAGCATTTACAGCAGCAGAAGAGTAAATGTAGGATTGAGATTAGATGCAGCATGTGTCAGTAGGATCAGGGTTGGTTTATGGTATTTTCATGGGGCTTGGTGCCAATAAAAAAGGATATATAATATCACCAGACTCGTCCTTCAAGATAAAATAGGATTACATGAGATTTTCTTCATCCTCACTGGAGGACATTTTGTCAATATCACAATAGTAACAATGTTTCCGGCGGCAGTAGCTCAGTCCATGGGGACTTGGCTTGGAAACTGAAGGATTGCCTTGAGCAAGGCACCAAACCTCCAAAGTGCACCAGGGGTGCCGTACTATGGCTGACCCTGCACTATGACCCCTCTGAAATGCATGTGTGTGGAGTGTGTGTTGGTATCTAGGACGGATATGCGAAGAATCCATTTACATTGCCCAGTGTGAATTACCATGATTGACAGATAAAGCATCCTCTTTTTTTCCAATTCTGATCCATAAGATAAATGTCATATGTATGCAAGATGGCACATAAAATAACCAACTGACGTTCAATAAGATGAACTTTGTTCTACTGTTGTTTTACATGATTAACAGGTCTGCAAACGTGTAAAACAACACCCCCTAGAAACTCATTTTGTGAGCCTTTTATTAAAATGTTATGAGCAAATTTAGTAAAGTGATAACACTATATGGTCATATGATCATGACACAGTTCCACTGAAAGTGTATAAACATTATTATCTCACATTCATTTTTACAACAGTGTATTTTGGACTTTCTAATCAGCAAAAAAACAAAGTTTTTTCTTTGTTGCATTTTCTTTGTTTTTCTTTGTTGCATTCTAGAAATAAGTCAACGCAACCAGTGTCACGCAGTATACCTGTCCTGTCCAACTATTCATCTAAACAACTGTATTTCCCTTCTAATTCAAGTGCACATATGAAAATCAGGTTTATTCCTGTACATTTTGCAGGAGAAGTCTGACTGTCTCTTAAACCGTTCTCACTCTGTTAAAGAGTACAGTGATGCATAAAAGCGCCCTGTTTCCCACAGAGGAAACACCTGCAGTAAATGTAACCACTTCACGGAACATAAATATTACAATAGCTCATCGCTGTAGCCTGGAAACAACAGTGGGTCCACCTTCACCGCTCTGTGCGGTTGTCCCTTTTAAGTGTTGCCTGGCAGACTGGAGGACAGTCCTGGTGCTTTAGTTTCCTCCAGATAAAAGTCCTCCTCTCGACTACCTCTATCTGATTTCAGGAATGGAGAAAGCGCTTCTCTGTGACCTCTGCGGGAAGGGAAGTTCATTTTGAATGTCCTGCCACTTATTCTAAACTCAGCTGATTGAAAGGTCGAGTGTTAACTTGCTTTTTTTTTTGGTAGAGCACGTTTGAATTCATTTATTTAAATCCAACTCGATTGGCTAGAGCTTCATTCAGTATTACGGTGATTACAATTCAGAAAGAGCGTGGCTTGCTTTTGGAGCGTAAACAGAGAGAAACTCAGTGCACCCCTCTGCTTGAACTACATCTGTGTGACGCAAATGCATCATCGTGTCAAACTGATGTAATACATTTCTCCTTTTAAGGGGGATCATAAGAAATGAATGCATTTATGAAAAGCGGATTGATTTGTCCTTACATAGCTTTTAGTTCTCATGATCCCTTAGCTCTCATATAGCGCTCCATCTATTTCTCATTTACGATCACCTGTAGTAAAGCTCTTTCATCACACACAACATTTGCAGCAAAACCTCAGCGACCCTTAAACGTAAAGCAAGTCTAACCAAAGATATACTAATTAAAATGCTACATTAAGTGAGAAAAGTGAACCGGGATCAGTAAAAGTGGCGCCATGCAGATTCCACTCGCTGAACTCTCTAAACTCATCCCGTCTGCGGCTGAACTAAGAGGAGCTGTCCTTTCAGCACCACCACACTCTCTGCTGCGTCCCTTACAGGCGGCTCTGAACCAGTCCCGCTCACAGGGCCTCGTCATCCTCCCTGCACAGCTCCACGTCCCCTCTGCACGAGCTTTCAGGAGTAAATCACGGCGTGTCTAACACCCTCAACTCCTTGCTCTCTGTCAGACTTTGAGCTGCATCTCGGTAACGCGCCGTCAAAAGTTGAATCTTAACGTACAGTACTACACCAACGGAACGTATGTGTGTTTTAACAGTCCTATAAGTGCGTTACGTCATTCTCAAGAGGTGATTTTTGAAAGCATCAGTCCAAATTCCGTGTATATATGTTTGACCGCGGTGACACAAAGCTCCCTCGGCTCCAACTCCCGCGTGACTATTGCAACATGTTGCTTAAAAACTTTATCTCGAGACTCGTGGCTCCAATTGAAATGGTTGTGATCAGATCGGATTGTTTTTGACAGCTCTCAATATGAACAGAACCATAATATCGTTCGCGTTTTATTGCCTTGAAAATGTATTTGTCCTCATAATAAACACGTCCTGTTGCGCAACAGTGATCATACGCCGACACTGAGAGGCACCTGTAATGATTACGGGGGCTCGGTTATACTGGTTTTAGAGAATGGGAAAAACCACAAGAGCCCGAAACTTACCTATGGTGGTTATAACCGTGATGGCAAAGTAAAATGACCCTGCGAATTTCCACTGCACCCCGGCTCTGTGGGGCTCTGCGTCCATGATGATGGTCTCCAGTTTGCGGTAATCATCCTCGCTGATGTTATATTTCCCCTGGAGACGCTTCTCCTCGGCTTCCAGGTCCTCCTTTTCCAGCATCTCGGAGTCGGACTCCAGGGCGTCAAAGACGGCGGCTCCGACGAGCAGGTATGTAAACGTGCAAATGATCAGGGACAAGGTCCGCACGTTTTGCCGCTTCATGGCCAACAGGAACCGGCGACCGAGGGGCTCATGTCCCCTCGGATTCCCTGGGAAGGCGCAGCGAGCGTGGGGGAAGCCGTGTGGACAGCGCCTGGAGGCGGAGGCGCAGAAAGGTGCGCTCCGGTGAACGTGGTGGATGCCGGAGTCGTGGCAGCGGTGGAAATCCCCCACCTTGTAGTGATCCCGATGACAGACCCCCAGATCCTGCTCTTGGTTTGCGGAGAGACACAAGAGACTGCTCGATCGCCTGGACCAGGAGCCCTGCAGCCGAAAGACCCTGCGCAAGACCTGCCCAAACCAAGTCCTCCCGGAGCGCGGTGCCATCAACAAGCTACTTCCAATATCGGCTGTTGGTGTATTTTCTCCCCAAGTGAATTATACTGATCGGAATAAATTCGTCCAATAAAACAAATTATCGGTGACAGATCCTTGTTCCTTTCTTTTCTTTCAAGCTCCACTCACTTTGTCTTTGCTGTGATTTAAAATGTCCTATAACAAGACATCTTTCCGCATGTCTCTAAGTTTCAGCTGAACACCAACCTGTTCATTGTAACCTCATCAGCATGCAGGCTATTTTTAGCAGCCATTCCCCATATACCCCAAAAAAATCCAGCTCCTGTGAAATCCTTAAATCTTCCTCGCAAACAGCGGACATCCTCATCAGAAATGTGCTGAGTCGCCGTTAAGACGGGAGGGTCACAGAGTATCGCAGGGGTACATCAAGTTGGGAAATGTAACCCTCACAATGCGCAGAGCAATCATTTTCACAGATGTATTTCCATTTTCAGTTGCTTTATTCCTTGATCAACTCGTCACTTGTTAGAGGAACACAAAACATATTCCAAGCACGCAACAAATCATCGTCGACAACAGGTTCCATCGCAAAGTACTTTCTCCCAAATGGATGTCTTTTTCTTAGGATGTGTAAAGAATAATAAAAATACTTTAGAGCTCGAACAAAAGGCGACAGCGCGCTCCGTTCCCGGACTGGCACACATGCTCCGTTGCGCACATCCAAACGTCCTCTCCCGTCTGCTGAGGAGTTTAATCTGGTTTTAAAAACAAAAACAAAACAGAAAGAAAATAATAAACGTGTTTCCCTTCGTCGTGCGGGGGCCTCTGAGTTAACCGTGCGTGTCACGAACAGCTCGTATTTTGAAGACTCCACATTTTATGTCTCCACGCACTCCAGACTCTAATCGGTGGGCGTTGCTCCGCCTGTCTCTGTGTTCCTCTCTTTTTCCAAGTGTCACGATTCATCCAAATTCTGGCCTGAGTATCTGCTTACTCCTGGAAGCTGTCTCTTCGGGGAAAATCTCCTGGGGCACAGCTGAATGCCCCCCCTCCCCCTGTCTCCACACCGCGCGACCTCCCACATTGACCACTCCTACTCATTTTATGGACAGAGAGGGTTTACTCAAACTCAGATGGTCCCATTAGTCTTTTTTTACATTCCGTGGGCAGCGGTGAATCTGCGCTCCAAATCGGGCTCAGCTGCACAGGCTGCCGTGCTGTCCAGGGTGCTGAAGTCTGACAGACTGATGCACTGCTGCGCACAATGCTATCCAAGTCATAGTACACACATTTGCAAGATACACGCAACAGGGAGTAATGCATATAAGGATATTTTGTTTATAAACAACCTACCCTAAAAAACAAGGACAGATTACCATCCAGACCATGAAGGGCTCCAGGTTCACAGTGGATCAACCTTGTGGTCATCTGTTAATAGCATAGCACAACCTGAGTAATAAGGGAATTATGGTACCACCTGATTGTGGTCTAATCTTGAGGCCCCATAAGGACCCCATAAGGACCTCGACACCTCCTTTTAAGGCCTTCATTTCGTTCACTTTACACTGTAAATGTACAGCATGCTGCTTCTCGTGCTTTGCATCCTTTAACTTCAATAGTCTAAATTTGGAGACGAGCTGAAATTAATAGTTTGCATGAGTATTAATTGCAGTAGCAGGCAAAGGTAGGCAGAAAGAAACCTCCCAGCATGCATTGGAGCAAAAGACGACAGACAGGGCTTATTTCATGTATGTTCCTCCTTGTGATTAACACAGTGTTTAATGTTTCCTCAACTCAATTATTGTTGCACTGTTAGTGACGTGAATTCATGTTTTAGGCTGAGGAGTTGATTGAATATTATTCCAAGACTTTGTGGTATAATTGGGCATTAATATTTAGTGATCTGAAATTACCAGAGCACTGTAAGTGCAGTTATTAAGCAGGCAGCAAAACTCCTGATATCAGAAAAGAATCTATCCTTAAAATGATTCAAATATGGATGAAAAGCAAGAGTGCTCTTTTTAGTCTTTCTCTTCAAAGTTGACATTTCATGTAAATATATTCTCTTAACTGCGAGTGAGTATTGTCATCATTGTAGAGAAAAGCTGTAAAACACAAATTAACGGATGAGAGGGAAAACAGGAAAATACTTTATAAACCACAACTAGAAATTAATACTTTGCTTATTCATATATTTTTTTTAACTTAAATCAAACTTATTACAGAAGTGTTAGGACCAAGCCAAAGTGAAGATTACACAAGTCCAGAAGTGTGCACAATTTGTGCCACCTCATTACAGACTATTAGAAGGTACATTGTATGGGTACATGGAGAAATTGGTGAAAAAAGTTCCTATACTGATTATATAACGTGCCAATGAATACTTGAAATAACATCGGCCTATGGAGCAACACTGTATGGCAGTGACTAGACTCCACGGTCCTTTACCCTTTTGACCAGATGCAAATACTCTGCTACTTTTCTCACTTCCACTGGGAGATAATTAAAGAATAAATCCATAAAATTATATCCTGGACTGGGCCGAAACCTCAACTATGTAGCTACTTTTTTCAAATGCATTTTCCATTATGCTCTTTTCACTTTTTTGTATTTTTCATATCATTTCATGGAACACAGATAGTCCTCCAGTCTGATATTACGAGGATTGTCGACAACTCATGAGAAAAAAAAGAAGATAAATATTGTAAAGATGTTATTTCATTTCATATCTAAGTGAGGTCTGGTCTCCTTGTGATATCTTTACTGCTTCTTTTTTTACATCAAAAATGTGTGTGGAAGTAAACAAACCTTCCTCTAGAGTGAACTGAGCGATAAGAAAAGCAAATGCAAAAGCTTTTATCAACTTGTGAATTACTAATGTTGTGTTGTGTTTTGTTTTATACACACTGATGTCATGATTTTAAAGGTTCGCCACAAAGGACTTGAGGGATCCCTTTTCTTTCCTGTCAGATTCATTTTAGGCTTTAAATGAAACCCTGCAAATTGTCCATATTCTCCATGAAAACACACAATGCACTAACGCACGGGAACAAGCTGGCCTCAGTAAGAAGTTGAGTGCATGCAGAAGCCAAGACGTCAACCGCAGTGTTTCATTATGCAGCAATTTAAGAGTCGAAACAGCTCCACTAATCAACATCGTCTGGATATGTACTCGCTCTATATTTAGCTCCCCTTTCTCACATCTCAAGTGCCCGCTCAGCCCACCTACAGAACTCCGAATGCATTCCGGGAGAAGCTCAGAGAGAAAAAGTTTAATAATGGCAACTGCTTAGATTAGTCTCCATGGTAATGACACCGAGTTTACAGTATGGCTGTGCTCATCACACAGGCCTGCACAGACACAAATACATCGCCTCAGAAGGCTGCATGACGGCAGAATGCCTCCACGTATGATCTAGAATGACAGCAGAGACATCAGACATGCACAATTAGCAGTGATGAATGATAGAAGCTTCAACCCAGCCGGAGTGACTGACTGACAGCTGAGTGCTTCTCTGTTCATGCCGCAGCAGCAACCAACTGAAAATACCAGCCACAGTCTGGAGATAAATCCTTGTCTGCCAACTCATTTGCACAGCGTGTTGTGTGGCGAGGTATCATACATCATCCACGCATCGATAGCAGCAGCACTAGCAAGGTGTCGATGATGTATGGCTTCACTGCAAACAATAGGAATCGGCTAAATCAGCGCACGCAGAATTGAATGATCCTTTGTGATTTTAAAGTTACAATCTGGAACATCGCGAGGAGTGGTAATTGCGCGCAGGGAGTTTTCATGCTTTACCATGGGGATGGCCCATGAGATGCACCTGAAAGCACAAGAAAAAGATAATAAATGCGATTGTAATAAGATACATTTTAGTTCATAAACAAGGTAAAAGAAAATATTGTTTTCATTTATGGGGACTTTAACTGGGAGGAAATTCTTGCATACTGTAAGCTGCAGTCACGTTTTAGAGTTCAGGTTGGTTTTATTTCATATTTAGCAGCTCGTGTGTCGCTGCAGATAGCGTAGTAATTGAGCCAGAGAGTCGCACTGGATCAGTAAACATGCAGCGGATGAGGGTTGCTGTGCGTTTCTGTGCCAGTGCTACAGGCGTGACAGTTAAAGAGCAGCGCAGGTGTCAAATGGCTCGTCTTTCGTCAGCACACACCCTAATCCCCCCCCCCCCCTCCCCTACATCTCTCCACTCCAGAGATCATTTACATACCAAGGTCACCGATATATATGAGTGTACGTCACCAACCACTAAATACTGAAAGAGAGGAGGAAGGGATTGAATTGAACTCTGGCTTCTTGCAGATTCGTTTGAACACTGTGGGGATTGCTTCGCCACTAAATGTAAGGCTCTTGTTTGCTCTCAAACAACTCCTTTTCCTCACTGCTGTAACTCCCTAGTATCAGGTGGGGAGGAAATGCTTCGGCACAGAGTGATGGTTGATTGTTAGGCTGATTGCGATCAGAATTACAGGTGTGCTGCAAGGTAATGAAGGTTGGTGGCTAATAATGCGGAGGTGATTTTCTGATAAGAAACCTCATTTAAACTCGAGACAAGATGCTCAGTCTCTTCTGGGTGTCCGCAGTTCTGGGGAGGGCAGCTTATGGTTTGGGGTGGTGAAGAGCCGTAACACGCGCTGATGCTGTTTTTCTACTCATGAACGTCTTACACAAAGACAACATACACATTTTAAAGCTGCTCTGAAAGTATTACAAGGCGGGAGAAAAAGTACTCATATGTTTAGTGTACAGTACTCAGATATACAGCAAGTCTTACATTCCAAATTACTCTTGAAGGGGAACTTCACTGGTTTTACAGTCTTCTGTGGTGCTGAAGGGAACTATGTCAAGTCTCAGAAATGAAACATCGGGGTTATCTGGCTCTGTGCTTGGAGGCAACAAACCATTATGCCATGAAGGCACAATAGGAACTGGATACCCGACTCCAAATGCACACTTTGTGTGACCCATTGCTGGTCCAACCCACGTTGGAATGACGTCACACTTCCATCCATTCATTTGCAGAGAAGGTCAAGCGGAAAAGACGCAATCCAGTTGCACTATAGGAAATATAGGGAGCAGCATCTCAGCCTGGTGTCACTCCCAGGGCGTCAACGCTTGGGCAGTGGCCCTCTGCATCTTCATATCACGCAAAACTTATTTTAAGTAGAGCTACGTATGTTTGTTCCCTAAACCTAACCGCGACCGTGTAACGTTATATATATAACGTTAAGCACGTGTTCCAGCGTTAACCGCAACCATTTCACAACGTTAACTGCTTGTGACGTGCGACGCCCCCGGCATCTTTATAGCTTCTTCCCAAGCAGCAAAACATGACAAGAAGGGATGAGATCGTGTTGAGCACTTTGGAAGCTTACATGACCATCAAATACATGTTATTGTTTATAATTAGTCTTCAGCAAACTGTCTGCTGAATGTCTATTTGTAGCTGTCTCAGTTATTGTGTTGTGTGTCACTGAGTTTAGTTTGTAGGTTCTTCACTTTTGTTGCCTTTCAGTTTGCTGTGCTATGCGTTCAGTTGGGTTTGGATGACCTCTTTTAGGGTCCCATCCATATTAGTTTTGCCTTTTCTCATTTTTATAAAACCCATTATTTTTTAAATCTCAAACTTGTGTCTTCTGTCCCACCTATTTAGTCCCCGATATCGATGCTCTCTCATATTGAATCTAAAGTCATAGCCGCAAAGTAACAATGACATAAGCCATCAAATAATCTAGTTCAGAAAAATGTGGTTTGAGGGAAATACTAAAGTACAGTACTCGTTATCAACCGGTCAGTCTATGATTCTCTAAGCAAATTAAACAACAATAAAGGAAAAATGTCAAATGTTAATGAATCCCTCAATTGAGTGCTGCTGTAGATGGTTTAGTTTTTTGCTCTGGAGCTCCATTTCTTATACTTCCAGCTATCCATGCCAGACCCCAGTTTAATTATGCGTATAAGGTGAATCTATGCTTCGATAAGTGAGAAAAGGACACTCTTAATTGCTGCTCTGCTTTGTAATTTAGGCTTATAAAATCGAGTTACCTTTCCTGAAGAAGACGGTTATAAGGGTCAGTAAACAATATGCCGAGGATAGAACTTATGTTAAGTGAGTTCATGCAGACTGAACTGTGCCGACAGCAGCCCAGGGTCCACACTCTCACATCAACAACACAATCCATTTCTATTGTTGCACTCAGAGCTGCCTTTCATTTCTAACTTTTCAAAGCCAGTACACACACATTCTCACACACACACACACACACACACACACACACCCTCTATTAGATAAACTAATTAATAAGCATAGAGGGCATGACTTTGGAATTGTTTGCGTTGTATGCATAACCAATGACCTGTGTGGTTCACTGATGTATTATTCACATATGTAAACTAACACACTTATGACGAGTGGAAACGCTGTAATGTGCTAATGTGACCTTCATGGGGAAACAGCACTAGATTCAGAAAAAAAGACATTCGTTATTTCTCATGTTTTCACATGGATCACCGGTGCTTCACATTTCAGAAATTCTGTTATTTTTGTAGCATACAGAGTTACATTGAATTTACATAAACACAAACTCATTCCTGGTGTTCGTGGTCTGTGGTCAGGCAGTGTGACTAAGATCCCGTCCTTAGTTCATACTCAGCTATAACGTCCGCTGAAATGAGAGCTTGTTTAAGAGGAGGCTGGCTCACTGATAAACCCTCTTTCATATAAAAATGAAACCCCCGGACTTCTTCTCCCAGGCCTCCCATCCCCCCCTTCCCCTAAGACATTTCAGCCTTTTGACAAGGCTAATCTTCCCCCAGCATCTCGTCATCACCCAGTTCACATCTGGTCCACCAGTGAGGGGGTGGAAGAAGGGCCTGCAGTGACAGCTTACAACACTCGTACTGTATTAACTTACTGCTGGAGCCTGTGGTACTTAAAGAGGTTGGAGAAGCAAGATTGTTACTGACTGATTCAGGTTCCCAGGTGGATAATGAGTTCCCAGCAGTACATTAGCAGTGCTGTGGCTTCACTGGTTAACTCCCAGTGTATCAGAAAGCACAGTGTAATGATTAACTACGGTGAGGTCTTGAATCTGCTGTGACATTATTCTATGCACTGATATTTCAAAATGTCAGAGTGAGTAAAACAAAACACGTTTGTGGTGAACTGTAATGTTTCACTAGAACACAGCGTGTAGCTCAGTCACCCTAAAGGAATGTTAAAAATGATTATTAGTCAGCAATGTTTTCTCCGGTAATCAGTGTTTATGGATTTTTGTGTATCTGAATGTTAGACTGGAGCTTCCCAAAATGTGATAAAGGTCATCTCAGCAGGCAGAAGATGAAGATGGACACAGAGCTATAACGGCTGGGATGGACAAATAAAACGTGTTGGAATAAGGTCAAAATAAACACAGGTTGCTTCTTTAAACATTTATTTACAGCAAGTATATGTCACACATAGGCTAATCTATGACGGTCAGGTTCATCAGTCATCCAGTGTGGTGGCACAGAGCCAAGTGAAAACATCCATACAGCAGTAGAAATAAATAGATCTTATGTGTACATAACTAGCTATAGAGTCTGGCTAATCACATTTCCGGTGTTGGTTTGTAGCTCCTCTTCTTCAATCGGGGCTCTGAGGTTTTCTGCCCAGTAACATGACTTAGTCTTATTTTATTTTAGTAGACATTTTGTAACTCGAAATGCAAGGTAACAAAATAATCTTCTCAATAAATGGCATTGTGAAGATAAGAAAAAGTGTGACAATGATATTAATTCTTGGCAGAAAAAGACAGCAAACTTTGCATGGCAACATAGCGACTACTTTCATTTAATTCCCCCGCTACCGCTCATTGCGACTAGTGTAGCTAGCTAGCATTTAGCGGTTAGCAAGCTAGCTAGCTAAAACGGTGCAAACCGTAAAACACATTAATTCAAGTAAGCGCAATTGTAGCATCTTTTCCTGTCTCACATTGACCGTGCAAACCATACTGCCTCTCTTGTTACATGGTGCAACACAACTAATAAGACAGCATATAATAATTCAAAACAATAATGTCCCCTTGAAGTTCAGTGTTAATGCAGTTTGCTATTGGTCAGTGGTGAGAATTCATTTTTCAAACTTAACGCAAAAGAAAATTAACTTTGTCTGCACAAGTGAGTCAACTGATTGCATTGATTCCACTGAAATTAAATGATTGAGGTCCGAGCCTTCAAGATGTGTTCATAAAGGAAGAGAAACGGCTTGTTTCTAATCACCCCTAACAGCCAACTGTACAGATGTTCGCTGTATCATTAGCTAGATTGCAAAGTACACACTGATTGTGTGCAGGAGTGTGTCCGTGAGTGTGTCCGTGTGAGAACTGTTCACACGTTTTAACCTTTAAGAAAATGATATATACATGTGATTAAATTCACAAGAATATTGTATTTACAGAGAACAACATCAACAAAACTCCCCATCCATTCACTTCTCAGGGCTACAATGATGAGGCCACCAGGCCCTCAGGCCCCGGCCTGCGGCTGAGCGTCCAGGGCTCGGATGTGGACACTGGGCAGAGTGAACCAGGCTAAAGGAAGCTCTCGTCCAGCGCTGTCGTCCTGGAACTTGATATTAAGGAAGAAATCTCCAGTGTAGAGGAAGAGCAGGGCACCGACACAGACGGAGTTTTCTTTGGGTTTAACCTGGCGACGGCAAAGACAGACAGCAGTAAGAATCATTAGCGGCCGGCTTTCAGTAGTCCCATACAGAACCTGGCACACTGTCAGCCATGAAGCCGGCAGGGGAGAAGGTTTGAATCCGACTGTGGCTTTGATGAAAAACTACCGAAAAGATCTGCGTTTCCCCCTTCGTTTGAGAACAATTCCCAAAATGAAGTTGGTTCGCACATTTAGGAATATCATTTGTGCTTTTATCTGCCTTTCAGACTGTAAGCTCTTTGGTTTGGCATCAGCCAAGCCGCTTTTCATCGCCTCCAGCTTGTTTAACCCTGAGGAGTAAGACTGTGTTACAGAACAAAGGCTCCCTCCCAGGATCCCTTCTCTGATAAGGGCCTTTTCATTCAAAGACTGCAGCCATGACATTTAAAAGGACCATACCTGTGTTTTTAGCTTATTTTGCTTAGCAGGCTTTATTTCAAGTTTTGAAGTCGCATTATACAGCGACTTGAAATATGCTTGTTATGTAATCCAACAAAGAAATAGTCCCAGAGGTACATCAATGTGTATACTGTATAATTTGGTTAAGAATAAAGGCAGCCAGAATTAAGTGACTGAAGGAAACCGTAAACTTCAGCAAGTTCATGAAAGGGAGGTAAAAAAACACCTAATTTACACATTTAAAATGTTTCTTTGTTGTTGTTATGCCTCAGATCATGGCGTTTCAAATCCTTAAATAGGCACAGAGCATTGTCATCAGTTATATCAAATATTCAAGGTTTGGTTTAAATGGGCTAAATTGTGCAAGAAAAGCTGTTTCAACCAAAGTAAAGCCAATCTATTGCTGTTACTACGGGTGGCATTATTGCAGCAACACTTTAAGTATTTAGCATCTTTGAGGAGTATTTAAACATTTCATAATATAACGTAGTTATAGTGAATGACAATATAGTAAAACAAACTAGTAATAATATAATATATGTCTTCATAGGAGAGGTTATATTTGATGACAAATACTGTACATTAACAGAGTTGAAATGACGCTATGACGTCTGTATAGTACTCCAGTGCCCACTGACCGTGTCAATGTAGAAGGTGTTGGAGCCGATGAAGGTGACCGCCTCCCCCAAATCGTAGTTCTGGACTCCGTTCTGGTAGTCCTGATATGGCACCACAGTCAGAGCCAGGGGTCCCACTGAGTTCTTGCTCCGATTGGTCAGTTGTACCTCCAGGGTCACAGCGTCACCCGCTTTACAGTCGGCAATGACATCGCAGTCACACGGCTTCCCATTCACCAACACATCTGGAAACCGACCACAAAGGAAAGGGGATTAGCGGAACCGGAGGGGACGGCTCTTTTGTCCAACATTCTTCACAAAAATGGAACTCTGAAGAATTTGGCAGAAGTCAGAATGACTTTTTCAAACCAACATTTAAATCTCCACCGTCATTCACAGGACTCCCATCCAATCTCCATTTCCTTTGTATTCACCAAAACCCGACCCAACCATCTGACGGCCCATCATACCGTTTCTGATGGAGCATCGATGGGTTTTGTTTTTCCCAAAATACATTTTATTGACATCAGTGGAGAGTGCCGGAGCTGTGGGTATTAAACTGGATTCCCTCCTGATAATCTCATCATGCATGTTAAGAAAGGATTGTTGGAACAATCCCAATGTGCCACACACACACACCAAGTACATTCTTCCCTCTCTCCTGTCACAACCAACCAAGGCACACTGAGTGAGTGCAATTCAATTGTGCTAATGTGTGGCCAGTCACTCCTGATGTGGCCCCTATTTGGCTAAGGTACAGAGGGAGACACGATGATTTGTTTTGAACAACGAGCTCAGTGAACTGAGCTCCAGCACGCTCCTGGGAGGAGAGGGCTGACTCCAAACATCGGGGAATTCAGGGGCGCCCGAAGAGATCGCTCGAGTAATGACTCCCCCGAGAAGAACGGCGGCCTACACATACAAACACAGGCGCGTGCTTAAGCCGGTTGTCATACTCTTTCTAGTGTCACGCCCGCAGCTGTGATAAACACAGCGAGTCAGAGCGGCTGAGCCTGCGTGACAGCCTGATGAAAGAGCCGAGCTGCGTTGGGTGCCGCTGGTGTGCCGATCTGTTGCATACGGCGAGAGGGTGGGGGTCGAGGGGGGTGTATGAAGATAGACAGACCATCCAGCAGGAGGGAGGCGCTGAGGGGGGAAGGTGGGTGTGGGCGGCTGAGGCCATGCTGTCACAGTCAGTGAGAGAGCCCCGGGGAGGCTGGAGCTACAGGAGGGTGACATTCAGCTCCACTTCTGTATTAAAAACCCACTTCACTCAACCAGCAGCACTCACACTCAGGAGATGATGTATCAGTTTGCTGACACTGGCCTTTATGAAGAGTTTACAGTATTTATTATACTACCTTTCTTTCATGAGAGTAGGCTATCGACTTAAATGTGTCCATAGCAAAGAATGTTAAAGACGCTCAGGTCTTGTTTACATGTTCTTTGATCACACATTTTCTGATTCAAACCATGAATTTGCAAAAATAAAAAGGTGTAAAATATGCATGTTGCTCTTATTTGGTCGCTGGTGGTAAGCCGACATTAAACCCTGCTATGATTTGAGAAGTTTGAGTTCTTTGATTTAGTGTTTATAATCCTCAAAGTAAGTTACAGCAAAATCTTTCGAAGTCGGTATGAAAACTAAGGTTCTGATACAAGTATATATATATATATATATATATATATATATAAAAAAAAAATGTAATTATAACCCGCCTTGTACATGAGCTAACAATACTGTAAATTGGATATCGTACAGCATCCACATTGTTAACATGCTCCTTTTTTTTATTGCGATTCATAAATTATCAAGTCACACGTGATAGCAATAATAATATTAGTCATTCATTTTCATTTCAAGTGAATTAAATTGCACATTCATTATATATAACTGTGGAGAGTTGTACATCTATGTCAATTGAAAGTTAAGAATATATTTTCTGTTTCAATCCTCACTGTGTGATTGAGATTTACTGTTGGCTTTGACACAATCCAAATGTAAAAAGGCTACAAAGAATTCAAACCGGAGAGAGAGCCATAGTGAATATGAGGGTCCTTAATATATTATATTCAGTTTCTTTTGCACAGGTAAAGACCAAGCTAATAGAATATGCAGATTGTTAACATTGTTGCTGTGTCGGCTTGTTGTGGAAGATTTCTATGTTAATCGGGAGAAGAGAGTTTTTGTTCACAAATCAATAAAGTCTTCAGAAGATTCAAAGTTGTCTTGTTCTGTTTATTCGCTTGAAAGGGAAGAGTATACAACAGAGTACGTATTCAGCAGTCTGGTAAAAACTTCACAATATGCAACACCTCCTTTATTTATACAGCAACAAGTTAGATTCAAAGTGCAGCACCCACGAGGGCTTGTCTGCTGTATCCAGCTGATTTTTCACAGCTTTGATACATTCAAGGTAACATGAGGTGTTTTCAACCACCAGTTGTGATTACTGCTTAGTCTGCACTTTCTTTACTCCATGTAAGGAACAAGTTGTTCTGCCACTTTTTCAGTAGCCATTTTACTTAATAGATGACACGTAAGTTTTCGAGTTCACTGCGAGTTCACATCGAGGACACAAAGTTCAAATGCATATTTTACCATTACAGGCTCCAATTAATTTTCTTTTGCCCAGAAGTTTTTTTGTTGCTTTTTTGCTGAGCTGACAGCAGGAACTTGTTGGGCCAAACTGACTGGCTGAGATCCAATCACAATGCGAGCCAGAGCACCTCCAGACACAGTTGCATTCTTATAGCAATGCATTCTGCATGCATTTACACCTCATAACGTCATCGTTTTAATAAAGTCATGGTCTGTACAGGCCTTTTATCTACCACTGTTCACACTGTATGAAAGAGTAAAGTAAATCGGGTTAGCCATGTGGCTACATAAATAACTAGGGTTGACGTTTCAAGAGCAAATCTAGTTGTTTTGCCATTTTAATTGTAGTCCAAACATCATTTCATTCACCTCTTTCCGCTGTGCATATGGAAACGTTTGGATTTTTGCTTTCACTGGAAGACCACTGGTGATGGTGTATTGAGACACCCGTGCACATACACAAACATATATATATATATATATACATACATACATACAACACAATCGTTTCACAGCCAGTGACGCTGAGCCCATAGTGACACCTTAGCAAGTAGTTATATTTAGTTTGTTCAAAGTCTTGTTGCTAGGAGATGTGCAAATTATAGGTAGCCTACATTGGCTGTAAAACTGGAAATAAATTCTTTCACATTAAAGGGAACAAAAGAGAATGGTTAGTCTGTAATGAGCTGATGAACTCCCACACACGAGCCTCAGTCACACACACCCACAACCTGAACATTTGCTACAGAGTTTCTCTGCTATGCTGGATTGTGTATCAGCACCGAGGCAATCAAATGATTTAGATAACAAACATGCAGCAGTGGGAAGAAACAATGAGCCAATCTACTGAGGAAAACTGCAAAAATACATGTAATTGTGTTTAATAATACTTATTAGGAAAACAAAATGAATTGCACTGATGAGAGGAGATGGTACTGGCTAACATTCCCGTTTCAGACAACTCGTCCATTACGTAACGCTCAAGACAAATAAGCCAACTAAGAATGGAAACATCAAGGTTTCTGATTGGCTGCGGTTCTCTCGGGAGTCTTTGCATCTCTCCAGAGAGGAAGCTAAAGATTATGACAAAACACTGCTTTTTAAAAGCATCTCGTGTTTGTTTGCCGTTGTGCAGAGCTGAGAGCTGAGAGCTGAGTGCTGCTGCACCGGTGCTCTCTTACCTCAACTGTGCCTCTGGTAAATAGGTATTATAGTATGATACCCATGAATGTAGTGTCCCCAGAGGCTGACTAGGTATAGGTTACATCCCTCAGGCATATGGAGGGAAATAGTAAGTGCTGAAATGTAACAAAAATGGATTATTATATTTAGACCACAGGCCTGTATTTCTAGTTCACAACGAATCAAACATACATCACAAACTCATCTTGCTTCTATACAAATGGAAACAGATGAAATATTTCTGTTGCATAATTTTTCTTATTTTAAACTAGACAGTTAGAGAAAAGTAAACTTGGCTAGTTTTCTATTCAAAAAAAGACCAGTTTATCTCACATTTATTTGAATATTATAATAGTGCTCGACGCCCTCCCTCCGGTTCGCCCTCAGGAAAACACTGTTAGCTCTGTCTGCAGTTGTATCACTGTCAGCTGCGAGCCACCGGCTCAGCCCTTACCATGTTGAGAGCCATGTGGAGGCACTTGATATGCTCTGAAATTCAAATTGGCACCTTTAATGTTGTGAATGTCGTAGAGAACCTTTAATATCACAATCATTATTCAAATATAATCATGACATTCAAAAGTGGTATTACATTTCTTTAGAACAGCCAGTTATTCAAATGACAAACTGCTGGTAAGTCATGGCTGACAACGTTTTGACAGACTGACGGCCTCTAATAATAAAGTCGACAGGCCTGTAATGTAGCTGCTTAAGCTAACGTTAGCTTCACAGACTGACAGGAAGAGCTAGTTCCAAGCTTTAAATCCTAGAGGTCTCAATGCAGAGATCTTAAGGTGAATACAAAACAATGATACAGTATGATGTGCTTCAGAGTTTAACTGAGCGTTTCTGATCATTCTTCCCACGACTGCCTTGCTACCTGTTAGCTCCCTGCTAGCTATCTGACGTGAGGTGGTCTTATGTAGTAAGAGACTCACTTCTCTGTTTGTCTTCTATGAACATCAGAAAGACAGAGCCCAAACATCAAAGATGATACACGATACAGAATGTTCCTTCCTACACAAAACACTGACGTTAATTAACGACGGCTGAGTTAATTTGCTGCTGTTGGTTGTTGTTACATCCTGTCAAAAAAGAAGATGCTCCTCCTAGCCGCAATTTGTTTAAAGGAACACTGTCTGCAACTACAAAGAGGATGCATCATTGAAATGAGCTGGATGGAGGAAGGGAAGCTGGAGAGGAGAATAGTAAAGAGGTAAGTGAGCTGCAGAGGAGCAGTTTGGCACGTTAGAAGAATTGTAGATAAAACCGGACACAAAATACCGTATAGGTAAAGGTCAGCAGGATTTTGAGGGAGAAATATCACTGCGACAAAATGCTGGTCCAACAAGTCCTGCACGAGCAACAGGTGCATCACAGGGTGAGCCGAAAACCGACTTGAGACTCCAGTCAGCTCCTTTTTAATGCATTGATTTGCTGTGTTGTGACAGGGTCATTAAT